TTTTGTCAAAGCAAAACAAACATTTTTAAGCGTCGATCCCCTCAAAGGAGGATACCGGCTCTTCTCGAAGGTACCTCAAATGATACAAACGAGGATCTGCAAGCAAAAATAGGAACATACATATGGAATTGACGAAACACAGTATTTAAATTCGTGAAAAGGTGAAAGAAATATACCTCCACGTGAGGGTGCAGCAGGGGCAGCCTCCTCAGGGCTCTGAACAGTCGATCGGATTCCCTTTCCTCGAGTTCTACGCGGTGACATGACGAGCAAATGATCTACAAGGAAATCCAATGAAAATAGTCAAGATTTTAAGCATGAAATCGATCAAAATATGGCTGAAACAATGCATGCACAGTCCCAGTTGAAGAAAATCAAGATTTTGAAGAAAAGATGCGAACAGACCTTTGAAATCCAAGTGAAATCTCTTCAAATCGAAGCACCACCCAAATCAGAGACGAAGAGAAGAAGAAGAGGTGAAGAACTGGTCGAAAATCGCTCGAAAATCGCTCAAAAAATCGCCAAAATCCGACGTGAAAAAAAAAAACCCTAAAACCCTAAGTCCCGACTTTTATAGCCTCTGCCTCGCTGAGCGAGACAGAAAACTGTGTCTCGCCGAGCGAGACAGAAAACTCTGTCTCGCCGAGCGAGACAGACAACCCTGTCTCGCCGAGCGAGACAGAAAACACTGTCTCGCCCAGCGAGACAGAAAACACTGTCTCGCCGAGCGAGACAGAAAACACTGTCTCGCCGAGCGAGACAGAAAACACTGTCTCGCCGAGCGAGACAGAAAACACTGTCTCGCCCAGCGAGACAGAAAACTCTGTCTCGCCGAGCGAGACAGTAAACTTTTCTGTTTTGCACTATGGAACAGTGGAATACTCCAATGGGTACACGAGTCTAAACTGTATTCCCACCCTCAACAGGAAGTTTCTGGAGAATATTAATCTGAATATTCTTAAGGATAACCTGAGGAATTCTCAATGGATATACCAATTCAATGGTAAACGCTGAATTCACAAGAGCAAGTATCAACTTCAATTCAAGATCTCGACAACGGTCAAGCGATAAACGCGACGCCGGGAGAACGTTAGCTATTCTACGAAGAACTGGATAGACTAACAGCAGAAGAGGTTAAACATTGAAGCCATTTACAAGTCCTTTCATACGATCTATTCAGCCAAGCATTGAAGGGATCGTAAGTAAAATCTATCTTATCCAAAGTATCCCATGCTCCTCTATAAAAGAATGAGTCTGGAATACTTTGGAGGGGGTATCTGTAGGCGTCAAAAAATGCTAATAGATATCCCAAGCATAGAGAAGATCACTCAAAAATTCACAAGAAAGGATTTCATACTGTTTTGGAAAAATCAAAACAAGTATGAACTGTCTCGCCAGCGAGACAGTCTTTGCTGTCTCGCCAGCGAGACAGTGTTGAAATAGTCAAAACTACATTTGTAACTGCCCTACACGTGTCCATTAACTGCCAAGGGACGTGGGAAACATCATGGGCGAAAATCACGTGGATAACTGCCAAAATAACGGAGTTTGAAACGTGGAAGAACAGTTACAGCGAGAAACTGCCATTTTCCGAGACAGCATTTACTGTCTCGCTGAGCGAGACAGCAAATTTACTGTCTCGCGGGTCGAGACAGCAAACGCTGTCTCGCCCAGCGAGACAGTAAACACTGTCTCGCCGTACTGACTTCTTCGATTGTTAAGTTTTTGCAGTTACAGACCCTTGAGGCTATAAATACCCCCCTAGGGTCACTTCTGACGAGGATCGAGCATTTGTTAGAGCATTCCAGAGCAGAGAGAGCAGAGATTTGAGTTCTTTTCTTGCAACGCCTTGAAATTAAGCTTCGACTTGATTTTAAGAAGAACGACTATCTTACTTCGATAAGATATCGTTTCAATTTCTACTTCGATAACGAAGTTAGAATCATAAGCCCCCTCTTCACGATCTGTGAATCGGCGGTCCACGAACCAAAGCGTTCCCGGCACAGGCAAAGTCCCACGAAAACGAGAATTGATAGACGATTTTCGTGTTTGTTTCTCAAGAGTTGTAATTTTTGTTTTGTTGTGTAGAAAAAGTCTTATAAAAAGATTATTCTTTCGAATTTGTTGTAATAGAACAAAGTTATAATGAATTCCACAGCAGCGACTTTTGAACCAAACAATATATGCTATTTAGCTGTCTTGAGTAGCATATGCTTTTTCTCATGCATTTTTCCTATAAAACTAGTACACTGCATGCATATTTTGTGTTCTACCACTTGCTTCAAGTTTCTAAACTTTATCAATTTTCGTCATTATGATTTGTTCAACATTAAAAACTATTCTGATCATCTTGATTGAATTTTAGCATGGATTGAATTCATTAGATAATGTTGTCTGTCGATTTTTGTGTCATTGACTAATTTATGCTAAATTGTGTAATGTAGGACTCAATAAATTCTTGAGACATGAAGTTGGACACAATGGAGAGAAAGGAGGAGAAGACTTGAAGGATAAATAGAGGATTATACATATGGTTTCTTTTAATAGTTTATGCTGTAGTAATTTGGCTGCTTGTAGCAAATCATGGTTAATTGTTGTAGCAAATCATGGTTATCAACTATCTATAGCATGTTGTATTTTAAATGATGGCTTATTGTGTAGCCTAGAGCTTCTTATGAGGATTTTTTGCTAAACTCTATTGTGTCCTCGATTCTATTTATCATGACTAGTTATTGGAGTAGTATTTTTATTCTTTGGGGATCGAAGGTCAATTTAGTATTAGATGAAATCATGAAAAATATCATAATAATGAATATTTTTGACATCATTATTACTTTGTATTCTCTCATACTGGTTCATGAAGGATAAGATGTTTGCATGTGTATTTATAATTGCTACTAAAGAGATCAATTTTTATTTTGAATCACTTCTCAAAGTTTATTTCAAATCCAAATTCATGTATAATAAAATATATCCAAACATTAGATTTTAAATCATTGATTTCAAATCCTTGTATTTAGTAATGACATCCAAACAAATAATTTTATTAAATCATGGATTTCAAATCCTAGATTTAAAATCCCTTGATTTTTAATCAAGCTTCCAAATCCGAATCTTAGTTCCCAAACGCAGCCTAAATTCATACAGTAAGCTCTTGATAGTGCTAACCTCCTCCTCCTCTCTTCGATTTCCTCTATACCCTTTTCTCAAGCTACATGAAAAGCTCTTATCGCTATGATGCAGTAGTGTTGGGGTTCTATTAATTGTAAAAGGAGTAATATGTACAGTGTGTTTAAAGAGAGTTCACCTAAAGAGGTCAAAGACGGATGATAGAGAATCATTATTTGTTCGATGAGTGGAGAATAAGATGAGGAGACTAGGGAAATTGGGTGGTCGAAGGCGGGTTGAGTTGAGGGTTGTAGTAGGAGTTGAGTTTAGGGATAGAGGTTGAAGAAGAAAGGAGTGGTATTTTGGTCATAGAGGGACTGAATTGCAATTTTTCTTAGAATTTGAAGGAGTTTTAAGCAAATTCAGAGATGTTAAGGGCTATTATGAAATTATTGAAGTTATGAGGGACGAATATCTAAATAACCTTTTTCTGAATTAAGCGAGGGTACATAAGTGCAGATTAGGTGAAAGGATACGGTACGTAAATGCTACTCAAACTCCCGTGGGTTTTGTCAGGGTTTTAGTTCGTTGAAAGAAACTTCCCAAAATACCCCCACCCCCTCCTCCTCCGCCATGAGAAGACTCCGAGCCGCTTCCTCTCTCCTCTCTCTCTTCTCCAAGCCCAAACTCTCTTCCCAAAATACCCTCCCATTTCTCCATTCGCTCCCCTCAACGTCACGCTCCGACCTCAAACCCCCAATTACCTTCCCAAAATGCCCCCGCCTCTTCCAAACCCTTTCCCAATCTACCCCTCCTCTCGAATCATTAAAATCTCAAGACAAACTCTTGCTCGCCTTCAAATCCCTAGATTCCTCTTCGAAAGTCGATAGCTTTAGCTCGAACGAGCTTGTAAAAGCCCTAGATTTGACCATTAGGGCTTTAGAAATTTTCGAAAGAGACGAAGGTGGATCGATTTCGGTGGCGAAAGCTCTTCGCTTGTTGGGCTTGATCAGCTGCAAGTTGAAGAAGTTTGGTGATAGCTTGGAGTCTCTGAACACGGCGGTCGTGATTCTCGATCGACTGGAGAAAGAGGGTTTTAATGATTCGGAGATTAGAGCGGTTAGCCTTATGGTTTATCTTCAATTGGTGGAGACTAACTCTGAAATGGGTCGAAAATGGGATACCTTGACCAGTCTCAAAAGGGTTTTTCAATTGAGAAAGTCGATATTTGATCCTAATAGTCCAGAAATGGGTGCAGCATATAAGGATCTCTGTGAGGCCTATGCGGTTGTTTTGGATTTCAAAGAGGCATTGCCATTGATTTTGAAAGCATTGGAGATTTTTGAAGTAAATTATGGGTGCGATTCGGTTGAGGTTGCTAGGGTTAGACAACTTCTCAGTGTTATTTATGTCGGATTGGATGAGAATGACAAGGCGTTGGAGCAAATTGAGTTTGCAAAAGGGATTTTTACTTGTTTAGAGTTGGAAGATGATCTTTTGAATTTACTTGTAGAAGAAGCCAATATAAAGATTTCGATGGGGGGATTTAGTGAGGCTATTGAAATCTTAAAGAGTGTGATTCAGAGGGTAGGCAAGGAGAGCAAGATTCGGGCATTTGTGTTTGTTTCCATGGCAAAAGCCTTGTGTAGCCAAGAGAAGTTTGGGGAGGCAAAGAGGTGTTTAGAGATTGCTTGTGGTGTTCTCGACAAGTTTGAATCCGTAGATTCCTCAAAGGTTTTCGATACTTATGCAGAGATATCGATGATATACGAGATAATGAATGAATTCGAAACTGCTTTATCATTGATGGAGAGGACTCTTGCAATGGTTAGCAAATCGCCAAGAGAGCAACATTTAGAGGGTAGCATCTCGGCGAGGATGGGATGGTTGCTTCTTTTGACGGGAAGGGCTGAGAGAGCTATTCCGTATTTAGAAAGGGGAGAGCAGAGGTTAAAGGATAGCTTTGGGGAGATGCATTTTGGATTAGGGTTTGTTAGTAAGCATTTAGGGCAGGCTTATATGGAGGTTGGTAGGCCTGCACATGCTGTGCAAGTGCTTGCAACTGCATATAACATTCTCAGTAGATGGTTTGGGCCGAAGCATGAGGATTCTATTGATGCATGCCAATCTCTTGCTAATGCATATGCAACTAAAGCAAGGTACACACTCATCGTACTTTCTTATTTTTATGTTCTTACACAATCATTGTTTGTGGTATGATAGGCTTATATTGGACTCAGTATGTTTAAGAATTTAGTAAGGAGTGAAGTATTAGTTTCCTAGAAGCTTATGATAGGGTACAAATACTTTATGGTTAACTTGACTTACATTAAATAAGGGGAAAACCTTTCGGGGGGAAGTTTGTTATTTCCTAATAATTCCCTACTTGAATTGCCAAAACCTATGTTGTGATATCCTTAGATTTCATGACCAAACAGTGGTCAACGAGATTAGAATAAGAATCGGTATAACAGCCAACAAAGGGGCCATCTTGGACATAGTTTGGCTCGGACAGACCTGCCTTCATGGGTGGTGGAAAAGACAAGATAAATGTTTTGCTTAAAAAAATAATGGAACAGCAGTTCTCTCAACCTAATATGAACTAGTTAACCACAAACTTTAGTGTTATTACACAAACTTTAGTTCTTCTCCTGAGTAAATTATTTCAGCGAACACAAATGTGTTTTTTGTACATATGAACACTTAGGCTCTTGTGAATACAAATTAATCATAAACAAATCTCAAGCCCCTAGAAAAGGATATAAGTTTAAGATCTTATAGATATGTGGTATGTTGTTTATCATGTTTGCAAGCACATTGTGACCTTTATGGGATTACTAGCCCTCCTTGCAAACATTACTTATTGTTGATAGCAATTTCATCCTCCAGGCCAGGTTTTGCTGTTTGCCCCAATACACTGAAAAGGATTAGCCATGTTTTAACAATTAAATAGCCTTTATAATTCTCAAAAAGCCAACAATCACCTGTTCCCTCTTCAAAATTGATTGTAAACTTTTACTTACATTGCCGAATTCCTTCGGAAAATTTTTAATTTTCATTACCTAGGATGCATTGTCTAATCAGAGAGGATTCTACGATTAGCGCGCATAAGGTTGACAAAGAAAGCCTTATTGATGCGGACTGGGATCGTCCTGCATCACTTATGTGCTGGGTTGGATCTGGATTTTTTTTTTGGTTTTTATGCAGAGTAATGTTGACCCTCCATTTTATGATGACAGAGATCTGCCATGTGATGTTCTGATGGGAAAGGCCTCAAAACACAATAGGACTTCAAGCTAAAGAAACTACATCAGTAACAACCTGAGGGAAAGTAGCCCATCATAAAATACTAGAACTACCCAGAAAATATCTTGTAAATCTCCAATTTCCTAAGGTGAATCTCAGTACCCGCAATATGCAAATTATGGCTTGAATGCATCTTATTGCATAGAAGGAAAAGGGGGGTGGGGTGGGGGGAATTCATACATGGTTGAGACTCAAAAGTTATATTGATGGGTCGACAGTAGGGTATATAACATTCATTAGCTACAACAGGTATCATCGTCCTTGAAAAGACATTAAACAGAATAGCTCAATTTGTGCGTGTGCATGTCTGTTAAAAGTTCATGACATAGGTTACTTTCTATGTTGCATGGGTACGGGTGCGGGT